AAAAGATAATGATGGTGCGAAATATGTCTGGGTTTTTAAAGAAAATGCTTTGTCACAGAATAATAGTCTGTTAAAGGTGCCAAGTATGAAATAATTTGGGGACAAAAAAACAAACCTGCATAGAAATCGGAATAATAGGTCTTTTGATTATCGGAGACGCATTTCAATGGACTTGATTACGGACAATGCATGACGTAAATTTCACCAGGAAATTCCGCAGTGTGCTCTCGCAATCGCGGACTTAGTCATTTTTACAAGGTTCGCCATTTTTGATGTCACGTGATAATTATGTAAACAATGTCTGTCCAGTTTGTGCGAACTTGCACCTCTATACTTAGTCTTTTGATATATATAACCTAAATTACTGTTCTGAACGAGACAACAGACAGAGAATGTTTTATTTAAAAACGTCACAAAACCTTCTCACTACCTTAATATACGTTGTGTTAAATTTCAGAATTCCTTAATTCCAATAAACTCACATACTTGGTTAATTGATATCAGCAATGTGATGAAGATGAGAACTTAGTAGTACATATGTGTTTATATTGAAGTGTATTCTGCTGTCTGGTTGCACATTTGTATAATCCTCAATAACTTATTTTTTTTAAACTTACAATCGCCTGCATTGCACCACTGCATCATGGGAAATGTACTTTGAATGGCCCACTTATTGTTTGTTGTATAAATAAAAATTATGCTACAGTAATAATTCTTTACGATAACGTCTGACGTATACCATCCATTGCCTGCCATTGTCACTTAAAATTTGGATTGAATAAACTATGATTGAATGTTTTGCATGATTTATTTATACATGTATGCTTAAATATTGTTCAACTAGCTAGTAAACTATTCTCAGGATGACATTCTACAAATATTCTTGATTATATGCAACAGAATAAAATAAATGGAATAAAATGTTTAAGTTGGGAACAAAAAGCTAGACCATTAAAATGATCCAATTCCCGATTCCTGAATTACCATCAGACAAGATTTAATTCTATTTGTGCATGCATAACGTTACCTAGCAACAAGCGAGATTAGAACAAAAATATAAAAAAAATTCAAGACACCAGTAGACGTGCAACGCAGAAGAAGTAGGCTGCATATCTGAAACATTTGCATGCTTGTTATTCTTGCTTAGGCAGAATAGTGTGCAAATTTTCAGAGGCTGGTACGAGTTGAAAGATGATGGCAGTTCTATTTCCGGGGAATTTGTACGTTGCGAATTGGAAACATTTATTTTTGGTGCACTGTGACTCTGTGTGTTCTGAACCTTCAAAATCTACCCTACCTTCCGGTTTGTTGACCCCAGGTCATGCGCTATGCACAAGTGCACAAAGGGTGAGTGTGCGAACGATATCAATTCAGGAGAATTGTATTGGTCATAAAAGTACCAGGATGTGTGACCTTAAGGCGGTCATGAAAGTACCAGGATGTGTGACCTTAAGGGGGTCATGAAAGTACCAGGATGTGTGACCTTAAGGGGGTCATGAAAGTACCAGGATGTGTGACTTTAAGGGGATCATGAAATTACCAGGATGTGTGACCTTGAAGAGATCATGAAAGCAACCTATTTGTGTGATGTTGTATATCCAAACTCAATTACTTAGTTATACATCAGCTGTAGTGCAATTTATTTATTTATTCAGGAACCAACTACTGGACTTGATTCAAGCATTGCGTACAGTTTAATTTGGTCTCTCAAGCAGTATGCTAGAAAT